TTAGCGAAGAGCAGAACTGCGCAAACTAAAGCAGAGGAGTCCAGAGGAGTGCTGAGGAGTGCAGGGCAGAGCAAAGGAAAGGAAAGAAGTGCATGGAAGAAAAAGCTTAAAGACTATTATACTTCCATTGTCTTTAGCGCTGACCCCCACGAAAAGTTGTCTGGYGGGCCAACCAAGTTTATCACCAATGTACACTGCAATTATGAAGGCAAATGTACGTGGATCTCTCCAGCWACTTTTACCAGTTCCTGTAGAATGAACGTTAGGTACTGGCCCATGGATACCCAGGTGTGTACTTTGACCTTTGGGTCGTGGACATTCCGTTACAAAAATCTGAGGATAGTACCATTGGACTTCAGTTATGAAAAAGGTTTGCAATATATTTTTCGAAACCAAAAAAAGAAACAGACAGACAGACAGACAGACAGACAGACAGACAGACAGACAGACCGACCGACCGACCGACCGACCGACCAACCAATCAACCAACAGACGGATAGGCAAACAGACAAACAGTCAGAAGGACAAAGTCAGACAGAAAAACTTAGAAACAATCAGACAGACATTTGTAGGCCAGTAAAAAGTGTGCATGCATCTACTTATTGTTAAATGTTTTCATTTAAGGCTCTATTTCGAATGGCGAGTGGACTATTAATGACATCGAAGCCCATACCAGCAAAGTGAGAAGAGCCAAAACCTATAGCATCCTTAATCTCCAACTCACTTTGACCAGAAAACCGACCTACGTCCTGTTCTATCTTACCCCTCCTGCTATCATCCTTGTTGTCTTAGCTTTGCTGAGCTTCTTCATACCAACTWACAGTGGAGAGAGGATTGGTTTTGTAACGACAATCCTACTTGCCAAGATGGTGTTCCTTCTCATGATGCCAGARTACCTGCCCAAGACCTCGGACCAACTCCCTATTCTGGGAATCCTCTTGATACTATCTATGGTCATGGTCGCTGCTGTTYTAACTAGCACTATTTTTATCTTGGCGTGCCATCACAGGGAAGGAAAACCRTCGATGCTCACGCAGAAGCTGTTCTTTCCATTCAAGTTCCTCGTAAAGAAGCATCCATTTAAAACCAACAAAGACGGGATATTGAATCGTGGGATGAAGACCATTCAAAAGATGCTCACCTCTTCGTGCAAGTTTCTCGCAAAGAAGCAATCCTTCACACTCGACAGAGATACAGATGGTGTTATAAATCAAGGAATGGAGACCGAKTTGCAAGAGGCAGACACAAAGGATGTAGTAACCATCGCTGGTAATGACCTTGCCGACCCGGGAAGCGTTCAGGAAGRAGAGGTCACGTGGCAAGACATCGCGAAGAAGTTGAACAGTTTTGCTTTCTTTGTTATTATGACTGCATTGTTGCTGACTGGATTGGCTGTTTCTGTGGCTTATTGAACAAGCGTTATCTTATTCTGATCTTTCAGGTATTAMACTTTGAGTAAAGTTTTAAGATACACTCAATTGAAGAATCGTTGTCGGGTTCAGAAACATAGAACATAGAAGCTGAGACCGAAATGGCACATGGGAAGTACGTTAATAAGATGCATACTGTGACCGGCGACCCGTGGCATCATCCACTGTTTTTAATACGCGTTTGGCATTCTAAACCGACTACGTGGATGGCGCAAATGAATATTTTATAATATAATTATGTCATTTCCCTTGTGCCATTTCGGTCTCAGCTTCTATGTTCTATGTTTCTGAACCCGACAACGATTCTTCAATTGAGTGTATACAGCTATTTCAAAGAAACGTCAATGAAGGTTTTGTTTCATGTCACATTTCCATGTTGCATGTTGCATGTTGCATTTTGTATGTTGCATGTTGCATTTTACATTTCCATGTTGCATGTCACATTTCCATGTTGCATGTTGCATATTGCACGTTGTATGTTGCATGTTCCATGTTCAATGTCGCATATTTCATGTCACATTT